CAAGCAGGGGGAGTGGGAGAGGGAGAAGCAGGCTTCCCGCTGAGCAGGGAGCCCGATGCGGGGCTCGATCCCAGGACCCTGGGATTATGACCTGAGTCAAAGTCAGACACTTAACGACTGAGCCACCCAGGCGCCCCTATATATAGTCTCTTAATACCATGTTTTACACCCTACTTACACCTTCCTTACGATATATTCTTTCTAAAAAAAGGAAAAAAACAGATCCAGTGGGAGAAAGAATGTTTAATAAATGGTGTTGAAACAAATAGCTATCTGTTTGGAATAAAAATAAAATTAGATCCTTACACCTTGCACCATATAGAAAAATACATATATTACTGATGGATTCAAGAGTAAAAAATAAAAATGCAAGTACCCAAAATTCTACATACAATTTTAAGGGGTTCTGGGACTCCCTAAATAAAGCCCATTCATGGATCTCAGGTTAGGAATTATTAATCATAACTTCTATTAAAAGCTTAATGCCAAATACCAGATGTGTTTTCAAGATCAAGTCACATGCAACAAATGAAGATGAACACATTAACTCATTGTTGTAACTTTATAAAATCTCCAAACTGGAACTAGAAACAGAGGCATGGCAATACAAATGGACAATGACTTAAAAAAAAAAAAAATTACACCAATTTAAATAAGTTTGAGTGCATACTGTACAAGTGTATCCATGTCTGTTAGCCTTTCAGAAATATAAAATCAGCTAAATCTTTAGTACTTAAAATTCATTGTGTGCAATGTTATTCTCAAACTTGATTAAAATACTTAATAAATACAAGTTATGTTTAATATGAATAACTGCAACATACTTAAACATCTAAACATATAATAGGAATTCTATAATATTAAAATGCAATACTTTCACCTGCATTAATCTCATACACAATGGAAAAATACTTGCAGATAATTAGCATTAAGAATGCAAATATATTTTCACTGTGGAAGAAAAATAATAAGATTAGAAATCATATATTTGCGTAATCTACAAGGAAGCTGTAGATAGTCTACATTATGACATTCTATTTTAAAATGAAAACAATTCAATATTTAACTTTACAACAAGTTTACTCAAGGCAAAATATTTGTTTATTACAGAACAGGATCTTAAATCAAAGTAAGCAAGGCAACATTAGATCAACCATCTTAGTTTTTTTTTAATGAAGTGTAGCTTTAAAATTGTAATAAAGGTGAACATAAATTCTAACATGCTCTTCTCTTCTTATAAATGGGATGATGTAGAAAAGCACAGCTTCAGTGTGTAGGGATTGGAACCATCTGCAAAAATTAAAAAACAAAGTTAACAGGTCACTTCATCAAACTTTCAAGATTACCTTGAATTAGCAGAGTAAATTATTTCACATTTTTATAAAATCAGAAGCGGAAACATAAAGAAGGAAAATTTCCATGTAAGGTAAGGGGAAGATTACTTTTGTACATCTCTACCAGCAGGTAAGCTACATGAAGGTAGGAACTTTGTCCACTGCTACATTCCTACTGCTCTAAACCTTATCTGACACATAGAGACACTCAATATTTCTTAGTGAATTAATTAATCATTACAGATAAACAGTATGGGATTAGGCTTATGTCCATCAGCAAAGTTCACTTTGCAGAATATATTAGAATGGCAATTCCTCTATAAAAGTCAGTTCAAACTGAATGGGAAGTAATCAGAGAGGGAGACAAACCCTGAGAGACTCTTAACTCTAAGAAACAAACTGAGGGGGGCGCCTGGGTGGCTCAGATGGTTAACGTCTGCCTTC